GCGCTTTCCCTATCCAACAAGTAAAAACAAAACAAAACAAATCTACAATTTAATTAAGATATGACAGTCATTCATTTTTCCAAACTCTGAGTAATTTAGAGTGGTAGTGACTAGATTGGAAATGGTTAATTATAGGAAATGCACAATCCCCTGTTTTCACCAGCACCTTATAGAAATTCAGTTTTCTGTAATGTCTGTGTCCAAAGGTTTACCATTTGTCCATAGATCAGCTGCTGCTGTTTGTTTGAGGGGGAAAAAGTCTGAAATAAGACTTCTGCAAAGTCTTGATTCTTTTAGCATCAGCAGATACACTTTCTTAGAGACACCATCTGAGAGAAGGTTAAGGTTGTGTTCACTTTGAGCTACCATGAGAATGGTCCAGTTAATGTTTGTGGTCAATATATATACCAGAGGCTGTATTTCTAAAATCTGCTTTATAGCACCTTCTGAAGAAAAGAGAAAGTTTTAATTACATAGACTATGTATAGAACTCTGTCCTAAGTCAGCAGTTTACTATATTGACACTTTTTATCATTGCCTGCCTCCTTTCCTCCCCTTTCCTGGGAAAAATGGGATAACTGAGAGGTAATCAACCCATTTTTTTGTATTCCCCTTTAAAGAGAATAATCTTCTTTAATCTCAGAAATTTTTACAAAAATTTTAACAACAATCAGGTTTTTGTTGGTGTCCATATATATTCTTTTTATCAAACTTTTAATTAAAAGTTCCTGTTTACTATTACTTTGCAGTTTGGAATGGCTGACTTATTAAATCATCCATCTGTTACAAGAGGGGGAATTACACCATGGAACACGTACTAGGTTTTTGACAAAGGAGTGTTTCAGGGTTTAATAAATACTAGAACTTTGTAACATGTTTAATGTGGAATCCACCAATAAGGAAGTATCTTTATCAAATAAGTAAACGCTAGTAAATAGATAACTATTATGTTTTTTTTTTTTAGTCTTAGAATCTTGAACAAACTCCGTATAATTAAAATGTTGCCTTTTTGGTTGATTATCTGCAGCACATCATTTTGTATTGAGTAAAGAATCTAGCTTTAAAGTGCTTGCACTTTCAGGAAGTTGATTTTTTGTTTTTTCTTCTTCCTTCTTTAGAATTAAAACGGGCTTGCTTGTGTTGTTGAATGTAAATGAACTCAGTTTATATTCAGAGATATGAGGGCCCTAACCCCCTTGCTTTAGTGATGGGGCAGGTACCAGTGGAATGGTGGGAAAACACCCCCCGCTGAAGGCAGTGACAGGGAAGGGCAATGTGTAGTTTAAAAGAAAGGACACTGGAAACACACCTGTATTACAAGGTAACTCGAAGATGGATTTTGCTCCCTCTTGCTCATCAAATAATCTGATTAGCTGGCACTGATTGTGCTCAGCGTGGTGCCCTGTGTTCTGTAAACCGAACACAGAACGTCCCTTCTGTGTTGCCTCGTACGCTCCCGGGTGGCTTTGTTTCACGATAAATCCCCTTTCCCTTTCACCAGCTAACGGCTGCTAACTTTGGCTTGGATTTGGGGCACATTAATGCCACCTGATAGTACTGCCTTGCTGCATAGAAAAAGCGGTGTGCTCACCTAAAGCAGAAAAATGCACCCCTTCTTGCCCCTGAACGTCACAGCCAAACCTACGGCCACTGAGTTCAGCGTCTGTGACTTTGATGCGGTCTTCGGGGAGGGGTGATGCCATCAGTGGGGCTCCCAAAAGCCTGTGCTCAGAGGAGGGAGGTACCTAACCTCCCACATCACATTTTAAAAAAATCTTGTGTTTTACAGAAAGGAAGTATTTTGGGTAGTTAATTGTTATAACTATTTGTACTTCTAAACAAAGTCATAGAATCATAGAATGGTTTGGGTTGGAAGGGACCTTATAGATCATCTCATTCCAACCCCCATGCTGTTGGCAGGGACAACAGAACGGGGGAGTTTACGGAAATTTTGTTTTATTCTGAAAATCTGATGTTTTTTTTCACATATATGGTTTTGAAAGAGCGTTATTTGACAGTTGATGTATCCTGAAGTACTGCTAATATTAATCTTTTTTTCTGCTTTGCATATTTGGACTGTCTTGGGCACATATTTCTGGTGAATCTACCTCGATGCAGTTCACACGGTTCCTCTGTGATTCTCCTCTGGAGGTATGTATTCATTCGAGATACAAGTTCTGAAATGAATGTATTCTTTCCTCTCATAGTAGCTGGCAAACTCTTATGGGAGAGGTGGTATAGATGCGTGTCACAATATTTGTGTCATCACTGACTGGTAGGGAAGATAGCATTGTGTTCTCAAAGGAGTCTGAGGACTATTTTGCTGGATAATAAGCTACTACTGAATTCATATCACTACGTTAAAAGGCAGTAGCAGAAAATACTGTGTCTCTTCTGTTCTTGATTTATTTCTATGAAAGAAAATAATGTATTACAAAATAACTTGCTAAACTTGTATTTACTACAATCTGATTAAAAGTTTAGGGGAGATGCTGGTGCTTCATTTCAAGTAAGCAAACTGCCACGGATTTCTTGCGCTGTCTTTCTGTTAGCCTTAAAGAGTTAAGTACCGCCTGACTGTAATGAAATTGTCAGGTTATAGTAATTACGCTAGAAACTTGATATGTCGCAGTTTGAATGAATCCATGTGTGGAGAGTTTGTTGCTTTTCTCTGCTGAGTCCACTGGCCTTTACATTCCTGAAGGCTGAAGAGTAATAGAGCTCATTAGACTTTATAGGAAAAGGGCTTTTATCACCTCGTCAACTCAGGCAGCAGACTGCCATTATATTCTTAATTTTGTATGGCTACATAGATGTTGATGCACACTTCCCTGCCAGGTTTATACCAGTATTGTTTCTTACAGACACTTTTTATTGACATTTCGAAGCTTGAATTAAATTTTGTGTGGCACCACTACAGATGTCTTCAATTAGGTGAAGTTAAATAAAAGGGGTTGTATATCAGAGGCCAAGGGATTCTTGAAATTCTTTATTCTAAAACAGTTGCCACAAGAAAATGTGGTAGTGTGTAGTCCATTTACTCTTTTGAACAGAATATAATTTAAAATAAAATTTAAACCTTACAAGATTTCAATTTGTAATTTTTTGAATTTTTAATATTGTTGTTAGTTGCAAACAATATGAGCGCCCAAGCTCCTCCTGTCTTTTTTATTTCCTCGTTTTATTCTCTTTAGTTTCAGTTTTGGCTATGGGCTCTGGCACAAAAAATGTATAGTTTAAAAAATATTACAGCATGTAATAGCAGAAAACTAGGCAATTTTCTTGCAGTAAGCAGGATAATGTAGAAAGAACTGTTTGGGGTTTTTATCTATCCTTTTGTCTTAGAAGTTACACTTAAACATTTGCCATTTTAGCACCTCACATATGCAAATACTGCCTTGTTTGGAGAGGGTCGGTTGTAATGGTTCAGTGCAGGATAACTGCGTGGAGGACCCTTGAAAACCCGGCGAGGGTGTTTGTTTGCGGGAGAAGGGCCCGCGGCAAATCCGGCTGCTCCGGGTGGTTTCTGGCTGCTGGTGTTCTGGGCCAGGGGCTGTACTGGTGTCACCAGCAGTCATCTCTGCGCTCGTCCTTCCCACGCTGTTCCATGTTGTCTTGAAGCAACACTGGGATGAGCCTCAGCACTTGGATGCGCCATGGCATTACGCAGTTGAATGGTGATTTTGTTTTGTTTCCTTCTCTAATTGCTCTTTAGTCTTTTTCCATCTAGACTGATGCTAAGCATTAAATTCATGATTTCATAAAATTACTCTCAATAGCACCTTTCTGAGAGAATTGGTAATTTATACCCATTGTTTTGAATGTGTATATAGCAATATGCATTTATGTTCGTGGATTTATGAACACTGGATGTTTTCTTTGCCTTTTTAGTCACTCAGTACTACGGGATTGTTCTGTAGTTGTTTACACTCAGCTCTTGTTTAGCCATCCTGAATACGTTTAAATCATCAGCTCAGTTCACTGCAGCGTTGTTCAGTCTTCAGTGATTCACCCACCAGTAAGGAGAACAGAATAGATCCAGCGTGATGGAAAGTGAGCTGCTTTCCTTTGTGTAAAGGATCATTTGTTCTCACTTTGTTTCCTATTAACCATACTGAGGTGCTTTTGAATTCTAAAGAACTGAAAGGAGTTTGTGAATCTAGATCTTTGCTCTTTGAAAAGCTCGTCAGCTTCTGCTCTACCTTATTGTGGTTATTGATATGTGTTAATTTTTAGGAGATGTAGTAAGAAACGATACAGTTACAGGTCTGTAATTCTCAGGACCACCTTCTGTAGAAAGTCATATGTTAGTCATATTCAATGAAATGCTCAGGACTAAATCAAAACTCATTTCATTTAGAGATCTTGGTAAATTGCTTTTTTTTTTTTTTCTTCTAGTGGTGTAGACATCGCCATGATGTCTACATGGTGATGCTCAAAGTCTCTTGCTACTGCAGTCCCTTGTACCTTCACAGCTTCCCTAATCTTTTTAGTATTTTGAGCTTAGTATCACTGTCCTGATTAAAGAGTTGACAGTGTAGCTCAAATACTATACTTCTCTAATAAAGTGCAGGAGTTAGCTCTGTAGACAGTGTCTGACATTTTGATGCAGTAAGTTGATTTACTTTGTTTTGATACAGAATCACAGAATTGTTCAGGTTGGAAGGGACCTCTTGAGCTCACCTAGTCCAACCGCTCTGCTTGAGCAGGTGGACTAAAGCAGGTTGTCCATGACCATGGGTTTTGAAAATCTCCAAGGGTGGAGACTGCACAGGCTCTCTGGCCAGCCTGCACCATTGCTTGACCACCTTCTTGGTTAAAACCTGTTTCCTTGGTTAAAAAACCAGGTTGGTTAAAACCTGTTTCCTTCTTGTGTTGAATTTTATGTGTTTTAAGTTGCACTCATTGCCTCTTGTCCTGTCAGTGGTAACTGCGGAGAAGCATCTGGCTCCCTTATCTTCTTTCCTCCCCCACCAGCTATTTCTGCATATTGATAAAACCTTGCCCTGTCATCCCTTCTTGAGCCTGAAGAGTGCCAGCTTTCTCGAGCTCATCTTATACAGCAGATGCTCGAGCCCCTTGATCATCTTTGTGGCCCTTACGGACTTGCCTCAGTAAGTCCGTGTGTTTCTTGTACCGGGGAGCCCGGCCCTGCTGAAGAAGCCTCACCAGCGCTGAGCAGAGAGGAAGGCTCCCCTGCCTCGCCCTGCCGGCAGCGCTCTGCCCGCTCCGGCTCGGGGTGCTGTTGGCCTTTTTTTCTGCAAGGGTGCATTGCTGGCTCTTTTTAATGAAAACATGCAGTGCTACCTCTCTGCTGACACAGCCTATATTTCTAGGCTGCTTTCACAGCATCTCCGCTAATCCCTAATGAAAGGAGGACGTAGTACTGGAAAGGAAATGTGTTGCTAACCAAGAGATAGAGAACTGCCATATGGTAGGTTGCGTGTGTCTGTGTGCCGTTGGGAAGGGAACTGCTGGAATTAATCACTTCATTTCTTCGGCAAATAATTTTCACTGGAGTGTGGAACTTGAGGATTATTTGGCTTTTTTTTTCTTTGTGTAAGGGATAACATGGGTTTCGTAACTTCCTTCTCCCTTCATCCACAGCAGAGGGTAAAACAGAAAAGTTCAAAATAGGAAATTTCATGAAACCTTCCAGAGAAAAATAATCATGCATTTAGTATGGTCAGGACCCATTTTTGGGAAGTGAGTATGCTGTCTCTTCTGCACTTGCACACTCGTCTGGCCTGTGGGTTAACAAGTGCAATTTCCATAATAATAAAATAGTAAAACATCTCTTGAAAGTAAAGAGAAAGACCAGTGTGCTTTGAAGAAAAGTGTGTGCTCTCCCCATCAGTGAAGTTCAATTATAAGCAGTTAATACATTGAGGTGTACTAATTGGGGCAATATGTAATACTGGTTGCTATTAAATATTTAAATTTTAATAATATGTTATATGAGTAATCAGATGTGTTCATGGAGTCATTAGCTAGCAGAATATGAAGACAAGTAGAATTAACATGTGATGGAATATATTGTATTTTTCTCTGCGTTATAGTCTAAACGTTCGAGAGAAAATTATCTTTTTTAATTTTTGTCCTGGATTTAGGTCTTATTTTTCTGGTTCCTTCAATATCATCAGGTTGTAATAACTCATTGTATTGAAGGTTGAGTATAGACTGTTAGTTTTGGATAAATTGTTCCCCCTGGATTGATTCCAGGGCTAAGGTATCATTTCGTCAGATAAGGTGAGTCCTTTCTGATGCCGCTGTTATATTGTCCCTCACCTTTGGCAAACACGGTCCCCGGTGGGCATCAGTAGTGCGAAATGGCACAACCTGCTTCAGGAAAGCATTTCATACTCTAGAGCTGTTTCACATCAAATTGCCTGGATGGTACATGAGAAATCCAGTTAAAGGAGCCAAGTATTCATTGAGAAATTGGAGAAAACATAATACTTACAAGCATTACAAAGGATTACATTGTATGAAGACTTTTCAAGGAGGAGGAAAATGTTGCTCCTTTTAGAAATGTTACTTCATGTAACGGAGATCACTGAACGTTTTGCCTGAAATCAGTGCTGTGCTTATTATGTTCGTTGCAGAACATAGCCTCTTTGATGTTTGGGACATTTCACTGTAATTGCATTAGTGAAATAACTGTAGTTTGTACTGTACCAGAAGTTTTTAACTGATGATAATACTTCAGTCTGCAGAGGTCTGGTGACCGAACCCATGCGATGCCGTTCGGAGGTTTGGGGTCGCACAGACAGACACAGCATTCATTTAACTTCAGAAGGCTTTGCTTTGAGTGAAAATCTTTTCCATATTGGCTTAGACTATCTTTTTTTTTTTAAATATTCATTAAATCCCATGTGATGAGTTTTTGACAAAGAAAGAAAATATGTTTTAACTGAAACTTTTTTAAGCAAGTCTGTGTTATATTACCAATCACGTTTCCACTTGGCTTGCGGGAGATGATTGATTTTTTTCTGTTACTGGCTGCACCCTGGTAGCTGAGAAGAGAACTTGACATGTGCTGAGAAATCCTTAGAGAAAATCTCTTACTTGACTGTGTCCCAGCCTAAAAGTTTTACGACTGACCATGTGATTTCGTGTGGCTCTACTGAAAAGTTGAAACCATAACTGTTGAATGAGTAGGCTCTACCTGAATGAGAAGAAACCCGGGTTAATACGCTAGTATCAGAGTCAAATGGCCTCATGTACTGCAGACTGAGCTCTCAAATGTTTGGTCATTTCACTTTTACAGTATCTGTAGCTCCATGTCTAGTTTTATATTATAAAACTACGTAAGAATGCAAATGTTTTATTATATGGCCTTTATTTTGGGACTTACTGGTTGGGTAAGTCAGTTGAAATAATTTTTGTTCACGTGGCTGATTTCTTTTGACACATGTGGTACCAATTAGAATAACTTCTACTGCCCATCATCTCTTCAGTCTGCGCTACTGTATCAAAATACTTGATTAAACTCACCTTCTGTTGTTGTAATGCAAACCAGTTGGTAATAGTAGGCAATATTGTCAGATTTATTGAGTGAGAAGCAGCTTTCTGAAGATCTGGCAATGAAGTGAAAAACATGACTAGATGGATAATTAAGTTGAACACAGTGGAATTCAGGATTAAAGGAAAGTTGACGTGGGAGAAAATGGCATGCCAAAGTTGGTTGTGTAATACAGTTTAAATTAGGAGAGCATTTTCTTCTTAATTTAAAGCATCAGTTTCTGGCTCTAGGTGCTTTACCCTGTCCGGAGACATACTTCACTGCACATCCAAAACCGCAGAGCACAACAATGGCAAGTTCCTTAGTGTTTTTGCAGAAGATAGTCTGACGTGGGCTCACAAAGAAGTAGTTCAGCAGATTTTGTTGCAGTACGGAGTTTCAGGTTCTTAGATAAAAGGTGTTTCGTTGGTCATAAAGAGTAAATGTTATAGAAAATAAACCTTACATAAAGAGTAAGCTGTTTGGTTCTTTTTATGAATGCTTTTCTCAAGCAACTTTAATGGCCACTCTGAGAAACAGAATTTCTGTGGCCAAAGTGCTTCCAGACTTCTGTCATTGCCGCGACAGAAGGTGTTGGAGGAACTAGGCAGTCACAGATGGCTTTGGGAAGCCTTGGGGCTTCGTCTCTTGTTGCAGAGTGAGTAGGTCAAATTAAAGAGCATTTGCAGAATTTGTTTGTGTGTAATAGTGCATTAATAGCTTGATGAATCGTGTTATCGCATCAGTACTATAAATGCTAGATGGCAGAGGCTGTTTGCAGATTCGTGTTTGAGGCGCGTGAGATGTAGAGCGTACTGATTGATCATGAGTACGGCAAAGGTCACAAATGATACAGTGAACTAATATTGTTTTCCCCATTTCTTAAATTCCTTCTTTCCTTTTTCTAACCATGGTAGCAGGATTAATTTCTCACAGTATTTACCTTTCTGATAAAATTCTTTCTAAAATTGTTTTTATACTGAAAGTCTACCTGTCAGACAATAACATCCCTCTTTTGTTTTTGCTTAGGCAGAGAATGCACCAAACGGACCAGAATGCGGCTATGGTTCTTTCCACCAGCAGTATTGGCTGGATGGGAAGATAATTGCTGTCGGTGTAATTGATATCCTGCCCTACTGCGTGTCCTCTGTCTACCTGTACTACGATCCAGACTATTCTTTCTTATCTTTGGGAGTCTACTCTGCATTACGGTAAGAGGACATTTGTGTTATCTGGTTAAATGTAATAGTAAGAAATGATACTTGTTACTAAACTGGAGATTTTCTTTCCTGTCTAAATATAGACTGGTAACACTATCTCTAGCAAAGCATTTGTGGTTGGTTTCTTTTTTTTAATTCTCTACAGTTGGTTCCATTCCAAATAAATTTTGATTGTCATCCTTGAATAAGGATGTATCTTTCTACTTAGCTAAACACTTTCAAAGATTAAAAAAAGCACTCAGAAATGAAATACCAAAAGCCCCTTTTTTGTTTGAATAGAAATAGTTTTTCCTTTGACCTTTTTCTTAGCCCAGTCACCAAACGAAATTAATCACTTTTATAGTTTTATGCACACTGAGATCATAAATAATAGAGTACCTAAAAACCGTTGTCTTCTGAATTAGTAGTCTCCTGCTGTACTAGCTCTGACTATATTTTTCTGGTATGGTAATCTCATTATCTTTGTCTTTAGAAAGCCTGATGGAGAGAGTAATCCTATGAATTTTAAAGCCTTAAATTAACTATCAACCTAGTCTTGCAAAACAGTAGGTATAGTGCGCAATGCTTTTCACTGTGAATAAGACTTGTATGCTAACTTGCAGGTTACTGTTTTTCTTCCATACGCAATTTTATGATTCTATTGTTATTATAAGGAAAATAGAACTAAATGAGTGGAAATATTTGTGCATTTTTTTCTTAGCTTTTTTGATTCTCCGTTTACTTGAAGTAAGGTGGTCACAGGCATGTGGTGTTCCCAGGGAGGTTCTCATGAAGCAACTGGGTTTGAACCATGTGCCAGACATGTCTGTTGAAGTTTCTGTAGGTCTGAAGTTCTAG